GTATATTTAAGATGTTCTATCTTCCCCAAACACAGTCCTGGTAAGCCACTTCATGGGATACAAGGACATTTCCCTACCAAATGGGCCATTTGAAACCTGGCAGTTGGACTTTACCCAAATGCCTCCAGCACAAGGATATATAGAATGTTTTGGTATTAATCTGCATGTTTTCCCATTAGGTTGAAGCTTTCCGTTCCCGGAGAGCCACTGCCTTAGCGGTAGGAATAATTCTTTTAGAAAGAATTCTTTTAGAAAGAATTATTCCTACTTGGGCATCCCAGCTGAATTACATAGTGATCATGGAACTCATTTCACTGGGCAAGTGTTTAAATCTATCTGCAAAATTTGGCCTATTATACAACATTTTCACTGTGCTTACCATCCTCAATCTTCTGGATTGGTTGAACGAACAAATAGCACTATAAATACCCAATTGGCAAAGTTAACTGAAGCCTTTGGCCTTCCTTGGCCAAAAGCCCTTCCATTAGCTCTCCTAAATCTTAGATCTACTCCCTTTAGAAAACATCAATTATCTCCTTTTGAGATAGTCACTGGATGCTCTATGAGAATGGATGAAGGAATATATGAATGATCTCTGTTAAAAGGAGATATTGTGCACTATTGCAAAGGACTTATAGAAATGCTTACTAAAAATTCAAAATTGGTTGTAGACTCTTTTCCACAGTGAACTCCCGGGAGACGAAGAGCAGAACAAACTAAAACCAGGTGATTTTGTCTATTGGAAAGGACACCACATCAAGGACTCCCTTCAGCCTCTTTGGAAAGGATCTTACCAGGTACTTTTAACTACTTCCTGTGCTACAAAACTTCAGGGGGTCAACTCTTGGATCCATACTTCCCACCTCAAACGCGCATCGACTCCTCCTGAGGACACAGCCACATGGACTTCGGAAAGGCTAGATGATGCTCACCTTCAACTACATTGTCAACCAAGAACCATATGTAAATGAACTAAAACCCTAGCTCATATATATGTTAAAATATATATTGGGGAGGGAGGTTGTTTTAGTATAATTTCATAGATGATGAATTTAATGCTAACCTTTATAATCCTATACCCTTTAGTTAGCCACGTTTTTGTTATGCCTACCTGTTTACCTGAAACTCCCATCTTGTTTGAACCAAGTGTTTATTCTTGGAAAGAGTCAAACTTTTCACTATCTCCAGGACAGGACTCCCTCATTATTTGGTATCATTTGGATAAAGAAAAATTTCAGGTTTTGGACTGGCAGAGTTCTAATTTAAATCTGCCTAAAGGAATTCCTTTTGGGGGTTATCTTTATTTTAGAGCCACAACCCCTATATCCAAAGCACTAGAAATTTTTCCCATTAAGGAAAAAGCAAGAATATTAACTGGGTCCAGACAATTAGATTACTGTGTTGCCATTGATATTGGAGATGATAAGTTACTGCAGATTCCTGGCTATAATGGTCAAGCTATTGCAGCTGCCTGTGTTTCCTGTCAAAGTATAACCTACCCAGATGACCATTTGCCCTGTAAATGAGGCTAGATATCTCACAGTACAGGACTTAGTGAAATTCACCAACCACAAGAACTCAATTCATTGGAGTAAGTTGGTGGACTCAAATTCCAGATAATGTAAATACTACCATTAGGCCTGGAAGGCTTTGGGAAGCTCTATGGCACACTCCAACTTCTGCCTACCTTGGAGTAACTTCTACTTTATTGACTCTTGTATGGGATACTCAAAGATTTTGGGTTGATTCTTTTTATCCAAATTGTACAAAAGCTGTCAGTCTCCAATGGCAATAGCATTTACGGTGGATTAATCAAAACTGGCCAAATGCTAGATCCAAAAGAGACCTTACTGGGAATGTAGGTGCTGGTCTAGGAATTCTAGGACAAGCTGAATTTACTGCAAATGAAGAAAGACATTCCTTAGAGAAGGACTCACCTTCAAAAATAGGACATACAGAGGGAATGCTATTCCAAGAAGAGGAAAGAGCTTGGGAAACTCTTCTAAAGGAAAATGACGTATTACATGAATGGGTCAAAAACACGAGGCAGACAATCCAGGATTACCCCCAAACTCAGAGATGGGAACGAGCCTGTACTCTGACTCAACAAGGTTTGTTGACAATGCTAATACAGATGGAATCTGTGGTAGCCATGGGGCAGTGGCCAACACTTCTTAGTGCAGAGGCTACGACTAATGATCTATGGAAAAATTATAGAAAACCTCACTTATGGAAAATAGCAGGAGTTTATAACTTAAGACACTGTACTTTGAGAGCCCCTGTTCCCCGATTAAATGAATCTTTAAAGTATTCTGCAGTACCATTAGCTGGGATTGAGAAAATACTAAATAACACTCATATCCTGCCTATAGGAAGTAGATGGGCAGTATTACAAAATGACTCCTACTAGAGTACCATTTCCCTCTCTGACTGTGAAATAAGATGCAAGATTTGGTTGTGCCCATGGAATGTATGGAATCCTGACTTCTCACAGATCTGGCCATAAACAGTATCTGGTCCATGGGAAAAGGTCAATTTTGTTGGGAAGGAATTCAAAATGATACTGTACTATTATCTGACTTCTTCTGTAATGTGACTGTACATTTACTTCCCCAAACTGGAATCTGGTGTAATACCAGAATAATAGGACAGGTGAAGTTATTACCCATTAATAAGAGCTATAATAATTTAGATATTGAAGATCAATCCTTTCTAGAATTAGAGCTAGCCACCCCACATGAAGTTATAGCTGTGGAATCAAACTGGCCAGAAGAAAGATTAGAATTAGAGGATAATGAACTATTTCAAGTACTCCAAACACCAAATAAAATCTTCCATGAGGTACAAATGACTGTAGACACAGTAGGAAGCACGTAGTCGGTCTACTTAGGAAATATGACGACACGCACCAAATAAGATCTTCCATGAGGTACAAATGACTGTAGACACAGTAGGAAGCACGTAGTCGGTCTACTTAGGAAACATGACGACACGCAGAGGAGTTTTTGTTGGTTAGGATGTTCACTTCCCTCATCTGCTTTCACTTTATTAGATGGTCAGACTATGTTCTTAATTATTTTAATTTTAAGCATATTAATCCTATTATATGTCACATGCAAATGTTATGTCAGGTACAGAGGACGGAAGAAAAGGAAAAGCCAGATCCAGATCATGATGGCTAATAGTTTTGATATGATCCAGGAGTTTCTTCATCAAGGGCTTTACCAGCTTTCCCTCTCTCCTGAAGAATGGCTTTCTCGCCTACAACTGAGCTTTGTCTGCATTAGACTCTACGAATGAGCCTTCCTAGCTACTTGGGAATGAATAATATGTGGCCCCCACATGCACAAAACATGATGCTTGGCCAACAGGGAGAACTGTGAATAAAAGTCCCCAGAAAAAAACAAGAAACAAAAAACAAACAAAAAAACCCCTTCCGTCTTCAAACTGGATTTCTTCCGGCAAGGCTAATCAACTGATTAGAACTTCAAGAGTTCTCGGGCCATCTTCAGCCCCCTAAACAGCCACTCCTTGCTACCTGGTTCTGATCTAACATCCTGTGACTAACAGATTAAAAAAAAAAAAACAACCTTAGAATGTATTATCCTCACAGACCACCTGGTCTCACCAATCATAAGGCTAAGAATGTCATCAGATAGCATCTGAAACCTATAGTAAAAAACCCCTTGCTTTGCTACGACCTGCCTATTGAATGTACCCTCCAATGTATTTGAAAAGTAAGGCAACTGTTACCAGGCTGGAACATGGTATTTGGGGACACCTAAATCTGTGTTCCCAGGCAATGGTCACTCATATTTGGCTCCAGAATAACCATCTCTTTATTCTTTAAGGTGAGAGCTGTTTATTTCATCGACAATGCATACACATAAAATAAAAATAATAAATAAAACTTTTAGAAAAAAGAATATCATCTTAATTTCAGTTAAAATAAATCAGTAGCCCAATTGGAAAAAAAATGACTGGAGGGATTTGTTTCATATAAGAAAGGCAGATTTTTAACCACTTGAACAAATACAAATGTTGGCTGCATTACAGTCCCTGTGGATCAGAAACTCTGAGCATTTGTTCAGAGGAGACACCAACAGATTCTCTTGCTCAACTGCTTATAAGGACCTGGTCGGGCAAGCATGCAATATGTCTCTTTGGTTTAGAATCAGACTATGTATGGTAACTAGTGTTGTGAAATAGTCTCCCATCTTAGAAGCAAACTGAAGACTCAGTCTGTGTGAGAGTTATAAAACAATAGAAAATGGACACCCTTTTCAGAAGGGAGAAGTGAGTAAAACCGAGATCTAATTAAGTAGCTTTGAAGGCTTGCCTTGAGGGACACGATAGGCCTCTATAGCCAGGTCCAGGGGAGATGCTTTGGGCAGTTCTAAGAGAACAGCCAGTCTCTCAAAACTTTGGGTACTTTTTAGCACTTTGCCCCCTGGTAGAACTCAGAAGATCAGTAACAGAGAAAGCTGAGAAAATTAGAGCATTCCAACCCAAACATAAGCCCCTTTGGCATATTGGTTATTTTGAGCCAAAGGGAGTCTGGAAATGGCTCTCTTCTCCCTTTCTACTTAAAGGATATGAACTCCCCATGAGAACAGTGCCTTCCCAGTACCAGGAAGAGGAGAATTTTTTTTTCTTTCTTTTTGAGACAGTGTCTCCCTGTAGCCCCACCTGGCCTGGAATTCACTATGTAGACCAGGCTGGTCTTGAACTCACAGAGACCCACCTGCCTCTGCTTCCCAAGTGCTGGGTTCAAAGGCGTGCACTACCACCCCAGGCCTGAGAGCATTCTTATAAATGGTGAGAGAGCGATACTGAGAGGAGTCTGTGCAAACAAGCCACTAAAATAACTGTTATCTTTCACTAGTTTCCTAGTCCTTTTCTTGTAACTGTGGATCATCTGTCTCTTTGTCATGTCTCCACAATCTGCAGTTTTGTTTAAAATGACAGAAGCTCTCAGGCTTATTTTTATTTTTGTTTTTTTAAACATGGAACGCTTCACACATTTGCATGTCATCCTTGCGCAGGAACCGTGCTAATCTCTGTGTCATTCCAATTTTAGTGTGTGTGCTGCTGAAGCCAGCACTCGGGTTTCTTTTCTCAAAAAGATGTATTTTATTTTCAGTTATGCATGTGTATGTGCACATGAGTGCAGTGTCTGCAGAGGCCAGAAGAGGGCATCAGATCCCTGGAGCTGGAGTTACAAGGAGCTGTAAGCCTCTCCATGTGAGTGCTGGGAATCAAACTCTGGTCCAGACTCTTAACCAGAGCCATCTCTCCAGACACCTCTCAGCCTTCTTTAGGTCTTGCAATAGGAAAACCTTCATGCCCATTTACAAATATTACCATCAAGCAATATTCATATACTTTAATCCTGATCATCTGTCTTTTGTCCGTTTCATTCTCAGGCCTAGCCTTAGAAATTGGGAGAGCAGAGGAAAAGTTTTCCCTTTTTAACAGAAGCTGCAGAATTTGGGAAGAATGCTAAAGTCACTTGATCCAGAACTATTGACAGACGATAGGGAGAATGTATTCTTTGTGGAACTGAGCACAATGTAACTGATGTGGAAGCTGAGATATAGAGCCCTACCTTAGCACGGTTTAAGAGTAGCTAGAATAAACTAGTAGTTTGCAAAGGCTAGTCCAGTTTTAAAAGCCATGCTACTGTCCCATGCCACCACATGCACATGTGAAATCAGACTGGAGAACGACACAGCCCTATTTGGAAGCTATCTGCTTAGGTGATTGAGGACAGCACCAGGGTTAGAGACATGCTGATTTAACTAGGGCCTAGGAAGGACTACAGCCCAAGCATCCCGTCTCCCAACACAGGGGTCGCTCCGCTGACGGGCTAAAACGCCGAGATGCTCAGTCACAGTATCATGTACCTCAAGGGCCATCCTCACAGCTTCCTTGCTCGTCTAAGCAGGCACTTGGGCATCCGAGACGCACCTTCTGGCCCAACTCCATGTTGCTTGGTTTAAGTCTTGCCAACTGATAATCAAAGATCTCTCAGGGTCTTTCAGAGAAACTGCAGCAGTTTACAACAGAGTAACCAAGAAACGGCCCTCCGAGTCCAGGTGAGCCCCAGGACAGTATGTGCACAGGAGGAAGTGGGGACTGTTGGAAGCCAATGGAGATGGAAAATAAATTGAGGATAAAGTGCACTGGGTCTTGAATGCCCTGCTGAGAAGAAATAAAAATAGTTGAGGATCTTCAATGGATGGGCTCAGCTCTCTGAAAAATAACTGGCATATTGTAATTGTGGCTTTTTTCTTTACGTAATGTATGGAGAGAGTGTGCTCCTTAAAGGTTAGGACAATGACTGTCATGCTCAACACAGCATCCTCAGTGGAGAGCAGAGTGTCTGGCACGCAGTAGTCTCCTAAGAGATTTATTGACTGGAGGAGCAAACAGATACAATATCTAGGGACATGCAACTCCCATGACATTTGTTGACTAGCTAAATAAACCAGTAGTCCTCAAAGGCTTGGTCAGAAGCCAACATTTCTATTTGGCTTCTGCCCCTTTTGGTTTTTCCCACCAGTTCTAGATGGTGGGGGGGACTTAGCTAGACAGAATCAGAAGAGTGGACTGAGGATGAAGGAGCAATTCTGGCAGGCTCAGCCTCTGATTCACACAAGTCCTTTTACCTGCCTTTGCTTTGTTTTTACTGTATGCAAAATAGAGTCACAAAACAATACAATCTCCACCCTCCCTCTGAGCAGTGTTCTGAGAATTGGAGAGATACTATCTTGGAACTGATTAGAGTGCCTCAGAACTGGGCTCCTAGCACAGAAGCCGTGTTGTTCTCGGGCTGAGCTACAGCTGCTGTTTTCCAGCGTGAAAGGTGATACTGTGAGGCCCTGTTGGCAAGCAACGGAAGGTATTGTTATGTGTTGACACAGAGATACAGCAAGCTGGAGGACAAGGCTCTTGAAAGCTGAATGGATCAGATCCCATTCATAGAATCCCTCTCCTCACCTCAAGCCTCCATCTTTACTACTCCTTGTGGATAGGTGATTTATTTCCCCGCATCTTTCCAACTTTCCCCAGCTGCCAGGACATCTGGAGAAAAAACAAAGCTGATCCAAGACATATTTTTTCCTAATTGAATCAGAACCCAAAGAATGTTGCTTATTATAGAGTCATCTAGTTCATTTAACTCAACAGTGAAGCAACTTCTGAGCCCTCTGCATGACATGAGGTTTAGAATGATGAATCAAATTCGTGACCATGTTTTCTGAAGAGACAGATGGTCTGGTAGCCATAAGTTAAGGGAGCAAGAAAACAGAAAGAAAAAGGCACGTCCCTAGAAAAACCATCATCAAACAGAGAGGTTGTAGAAACAGAAATGTTTCTGTTTTTGCAGAGCCTGTATACAGCACCAGAAACACATACCAACCACCCTACAGAGTGAGGCGAATCGTCAATGACTTGTCAACTTGCCTGGGAGAGCAGAGGAGACTGTGTAATTCTGGCTGAGGACTGGGAAGAGGTTTTCACAACAGGGAACACCTAAGCTCGGGGAGGGCAGGTTTCGCAAAGATGAGAACAGAGTGTGTGTCTTAGTGACTTTTCCCGGGGTGTGAGCCATCATGGAGGAGAAGTGAGGAAGCTTGAGGCAGCTGGTCACATTGCATCCACTGCCAAGAAGCAGAGAGAGCTGCCGGGCGTGGTGGCACATGCCTTTGATCCCAGCGCTCAAGAGACAGAGGCAGGTGAATCTCTGTGAGGTGGAGGCCAGCCTGATCTACATAGGGAGTTCTCTCTATAAGGAGCCTCAGTCTCAACAACAGAAATGAGCAGAGGGAGATAAACAACTAGTTTTCTTTGTATACAGTCCTGAACCCCAACCCATGGAATGATGATGCCTGAATTTAGGGTGGGTCTTCCTACCTCAATTAATCTAATCAAGAAATCCCTCATCGGCGTGCCCAGAGCCTTGTCTCTTCAGTGATTTTAGATCCTGCCAAGTTGACAGTATTAATGGTCCCTGTACATAACCAGAGAAACCTAAGACAGAGGGAGGCAGGGGTGATGCTCAGAGTCTAGGAACCCGAAGCATTGTGTGTTTAGGAGTGCTGGATAGGGTGAGAGATGGAAGGCATTCAGGAGAAAGTGCACCAAGAGTTACTGAATGTTTACTGAGAGGCTGAGGGTTCATACAATAATGAGGGCAAACCTTGGGTAGAACAGGAAGATACAACCTTTTCTTTGGGAATGATAAAATCTGGAGATGAGTGGGATGCCCAGTGGGATAATTCTCCTTCTCAAGGTAGAGATGATGAGGTTCTGGAACTGTATCTGTAAATAGCTATGAAGATACCAAACAAGGGAGGAAGGGCCAAATCAATGCTGGCTATCTACAAACTGATGGTAGTCTTGAGTAGAACTCGGTGCTGAGGAGAACAGTAGGTGAGCTGGTTCATTTGTAGTACATTTTCAATCCAGCTGGAACTTGCTATTGCAAGGATCTGGGGCCTGATCCCAGATGGAACCAAATCCTTACTTCTTCCAGAGCAAGAATTAGTTCCTCCTCAGACTAGGACATCGTGACTGAGGGGGATGCTGAGTACCAGTGGCAGGAGAGAAAAAGAGACGTGGGGAAAAGATGGATCTAATGAAATCGGGGAAAATGAGAAAAAGTGGAGATCAGAAAGTTTATCTATCAATCACTGTCTCACTCCAGGAAGGGGTTGGAAGAATGCCCTCTGTCTCCATACACACAGGACACAGCTGTTGCCCTTGACCTCTTTCAGTGAATGATAACTTTCTGGGCTTGTTGAAAGCAAAGATGTCTGAAAACATTATCACAATCTTTTTAACCTAGAGCTGCCAGTGATGTCAGTTTTTACTGTATGTGTGAACTGTCCTAGAAATCAGCTAATAGTTCTGTTCAAGCTATTATGATTGTAAGATCATCAGGTGCATTAATTCATTTGATATTCAACTGAGATTATGTACCTGTAATTATTGTATACGATCCCTGTGTAAGGCTTTAGAAAAACTGAGGTGAATAACCCTAAGAAAATATCTTAATTCAGGGAGCTTTTAATCTAGTACAGGAGATACAATGTGAAAGTGCTTCAACATTTCAAAACCTTTCTAAGTCTGTTAGGCTGTGCGTATGTACCATGAGAAAACCAGACTTGGTCCCATGAATTCTCATAGATTTGAAGAGTAGGTGGGAATCTGCCAAACAAAAAGTGAAGAAAACTATCTTCCAGAAAGAGCCAGAGCTATAGGAAAGCCTTGGATGGGCTTTCCAGCATGACACAGATCTCAAAGAAACACAATGTGATTGGATCCTGAAGAGCAAGAGGGAGAGCCATGGGAGAATCACAGGCTGTTTCCTTTCTGCTACTGACTCTGCAAAGAGCCCAGGACTGAACCCAGGGCAGAGACTCCCCACCCTCACACCTGGCAACTAGAGAAGAAGGTGCCAGGTGTCACAATAGGGAAGTCACTAATCTATAGAGGGGCCATAACAAATTGTGCTCCTGGCCAGCTGATGTCAGAGAGGACTTCTAATCTCTTTTTTCACATGCATAAGTAAGCAGACACTGCATGTCCATGAGTTTCCCTAAGCAGCCTGGCCCTTTATGCCATGCTGGCTTTGTATTTTAATGGCTGTAGTCTAAAGGTCAACCATGAAAGAAAAGCAGGCCGGAAGCAGGCCAGCCATTCAGGCAGGTAATAGAGCGTGCAAAATCTCTCCTCTGCCGCAGTGACTGGTCACATCTGTTTATGTCTCCTTGCCTCACTGTGAAAAGAGCGTTATTTTTCTCTTCTCTGTTTATGTTAGAAAGAAGCCATCCAGATAAGGATTATCCTTCTAGAAATAATATTGCTGTTGGCGATAGTCTATCGGTAAAAATTGGGCTTTCTCTCTAGAAAGAAGAGTTGGGAAGAGTCAGGTGTCAGTTCTCAGAACAAACCCCAACTATCGCAGACAAGATCAGCACAGACTGAGAGAAGAGGCGGAGCTGGAAAACTCTGGAAATCCCCAACTTCTGATTCCAGTTGGGAGCTGGAGATTTGGCAGATCCAGATGTTGGGGAAATACTTTCTGATTCATTGTGA